AAATGGGTCTGTTTGTTGCCAAGGAACTGTGTGAAGGCTGCTTGTAAAGAAATCTGTGCCATCAGAAAGGCAGCTGATATCATTCTTTGGTATCATGACACTTCAGAGGGTCAGTGTTCTCCATGTGTGGTATTCAATGCACCAGAAGCATACATTTACAAAGATGTGCGGTGATCTGTTTACTGTGGAAAACTGTGCACATGGACAAATGAAGCCTGCTGTGCAGCCTATCGATCAGTTATTCACTTCTACAACCATGTACATACAATGAAACACACATAATCTAGCTCAAGTGTCAGGGGGCCACAGTCAGTAGGTACGAGGCTTCAGTGCCTCTAATAGTTGTGCATGAGATGATGGGAGATGCTGCACCTGACAGAACTCTGCACAGTTGTTAAAACAAATAGGCCTGAATTCTGGACTTTCCCTGTGTTCTCAAATGGTATTTACGACCGGTGCTCACAAGTATGAATTTGTGCATTTAGTTTATACACCAAGCAATGCAAGCCTACAGATTTACCATGCACTTGTGTGCATATGACACACATAGGCAGCAGTCTCACACACACACACACACACACACACACACACACGCACAAAATAATCCACTTTCAGTCCACTTCAGTGCACTTTCCAACTGGGTGAACTGGCAAAATCCGGATGGAAAGTGCATTGAAAGTGGATTGAAAGCGGATCATTTAGTGTGTGTGACTGCTGCCTATGTGTGTCATATGCACACAAGTGCATGGTTTGCTCATTATCATGGAACATGGATATGTAGATCTACCACAGCCACAAACAGAGCCTTTCCAAATGACAGAAATTAATGTATTACACTAGCAACAGCAGCACTGTTATATCCAATATAGCCTACCCAAAGAACCTTTTAGTTCCCATCTGGTCTGCCAGTCCCAAATCACAACATCATTGTATTTGTTTCTGCTCCTCTTGCCACCCCATTAAAGCATGGGATTAAACCATCCCATTAAACCAGTTGTTACTTTTCATAGTTCTTGTTTGCATAGCAGCTTCCCATGCTCCCAGCTGAGCATTAACAGTACTTAACTAGATGTACAGGAATTGCCCTGAACAAGATACATGCCCTGTCCGAAGACGTGCGCATGCACACGGAAGTTTATACCCAGGATTAAATTTTGTTGGTCTTAAAGGTGCCACGGGACTCAAACTTTGTTCTCATACCCTTTCCCCTTGAGACTTCCCCACTTGCTCTTGGGGGGGGTATCCCCCATGGAGACCACATGGGATGAACTGCAGATCTAAACCAGTGGGCACTGAAACAGTACTTCAGATCCTTGCAACTAGATCTACCTGTAAGCGTCCACCCTCATAAACATATACTTCCTTTAAGGCTCTTTATCAAGATACCTTCTTTCGCCTGGTTTGATCAGATGGCCCAGGATGTTAATAAGACAATAATGTGAGTCCATTTGGAACCAGAGGAGACCTACCTAACCCCAATATGGCTGCGTTGTGTTTCGCTGTTCCAGTTCTGAAAATCATGTTACCCGGGGACTAGCTTATAAGGTAAAATGAAGTGACCAATAGAATTCATTCAGATACCAGAAGCTTTTGTTAGGTCAACAGTCTAACCTGGACATGAACTATCATATTCTATCTCACTTTGTTTGTCTGACTTTTGTTCTCAATATCCATACCTGAAAAACTCTTAAATTAGAAAGTTTGCAATACTTTTTGAAAGGAGGTTGACTCCCAGCATGGGCATGGAAGCTTTGGCTTCATGTCCCTTTGGATCCTGCCCATAGCACAGCCATGCCCTTGCATGGCAAGTGGAACTGGCAGTGCTTCAGGATTAAGCAGCTAAGGCCCTCAGCAGAGAAGAGGCACATTGGTTCACGCTAAATGACTCAGTCCTATTTGATTTCCAAACTCTCTTAAAAGAACTCCAGTACATCTGCTGACTGCTCGTGGGACACAAGCTGCAGACTTTGATAAAACAGTGATATATTTTTCTTCTCCCATGCATGGAAGTGTAAAACAGACTTTACCCACTCTGCATTCCAAAAGATTTGAGCAAGATATGTAATTCAAAGGAAAATATGACTCCATTGTTGAATGCCTTGAAAGAGAATTGATGGAAAGACACAGGGGGGAAATTATGACGTTAGAACAGGATGGCAATCACAAAGAGAATAAAAGCTGAAGAAGGTAACTAGGCAAGATGATGTCATGAATAAGTTAAATAGACAGGAACTAAGTAAGTACATTTATGGTGCCATCCTCAACAGAGTCAAACTCATTGACTTTAATGGACTTAGAAAGGTGCAACTGTACTTAGGACTGCACTGTTAGACTGATTCTGGAGTTAAAGTCATACCCAGAAGAAAGGACTTAAATCAATGATACACACTCAGTGACTCAGGACTCACATGTGGCTGTTTTACATGCTACCTGTGGCTCTTCTTAGTACGATTCCCCAATGTGGCGGCAGCCACATGCTTCAGGAAAGTGGGCAAGTGGTTGGCAGTTGGTTCTCATCTTGAAACATCTGCCAACAGCAGAATGGGTAAACCGCAAGTATCCCTGAGAGGGAAGTCAATGTGGCTGTCTGTGAGTCAACAGAGTGAGTGCCACCGGTTTTAAGCAGAACTGTAACTAGCTAGATTGTCAGATGGAAACACCAGAAGCATTGTTAATTGTTGACACAGAGGAAAGATGGGGGTGATGTCACTAAGGAGACAAAGTACACATGTGCACTAGTTGTTTTCATGTGTACCTGAATGAATTGTTCACAGCAAGTACAGTCCATGCCCTATACCATGCATTGTTCCAATTAATGCTCCTGGATTTTTATTTATTTATTTTGCATGCAGGCTAGACGCTTAAATACTAACCTTCATACAATGCCCCCTGTATTTGTGTATATACCAACATCTCTTCATATCATCATGTTGTCTGATCTGGCCTCCACTATCATTTGTTCTTTTTTTGTTCATTTTGGAAAGCTGATAATGTGCATTCTACCTATTCCCTCAGGTAGCCAGCCTCACTGACAGAAACCTCATTTTGTTTCTTTTTGGTGGTTTTTAAAAAACTTTACATTGCACCAAATGCCTCAAATTCCACATAGATGTAGGCTGCAAGGTACCTTTATTTTTTTTCCTTTTTTTTGGCCTTTTAGCAAAATCTGTGTGGAGGAGTATAATCAGTACTTTTTATAAATTTCCTGCAGTCGCAAGCCCAAGTGGAGGAACTGTACAGAGACAGGAAGTACACAAAAAGCAGTAAAGCAACATCAAGGAACAGCCAGACACAAATCAAGGAACAGCCAGACACTCGTGGGCACTCCATGAAACTGCAGAGCGGTCGGGTTAGAACGGATAAAAGGAAGTACTTCTTCACCCAAAGAGTGATTAACACATGGAATTCACTGCCACAGGAAGTGGTGGGTGCTACAAGCATGGACGGCTTCAAAAGGGAATTAGATAAGCATATGGAGCAGAGGTCCATCAGTGGCTATTAGCCACAAGGTATAGCTAGGGGCTCTGGGGCAAGTGATGCTCTGTCTTCTTGGTGCTTGGGGGGGGGTCAACAGTGGGAGGGCTTCTAATGTCCTGGCCCCACTGCTGGACCTCCTGATGGCACTGGTATTTCTGGCCACTGTGTGACACAGAGTGTTGGACTGGATGGGCCTTTGGCCTGATCCAACATTGGCGTCTCTTATGTTCTTATGTTCTTAAATCCAAGTGAAAGAAAATGTGAAGAAATAGTAACAAAAAGAACCTAGTGAAGACATACTCAAAAGAAAAAAAAGGAATTAAATAAATGAAAAGACAACAGCCTCCAAGGCTCTACAAAGATCAAAAGAAGAAGGTGCTGCTTGCCCAGGGAGACTGTTCTGTCAGAGGCTGGACCTGTCCAGTTGCTCAGTCCCACCTCCTGGCTGCTGTTTCTATGTTTTATTGTATTGTGATTTTTAGTGAAACACTTTGAGTCTTGCTCTGCAGGAGAAAAGTGGGATAAAAATATCCACATAAGTAAATATATAAATAAATCTATCCTTCCCTATGTTTTATTGATTTTATGTTTTTGTATTTTAGCTCCAGTTTTAATTATATGTTTTGATTTGGTTTTAATGGCTTTCAAGATACATTTTCATTATGTATGTTTTTGATCTGTTAGCTACCTTGGTGGTCCTGATGAGGGAAGAAAGACAGGATGTGACTTTTGTAAACTAAAAATAAAATAAATGAGAAGTAAAATCCTATTTCATCTTATCAGGCAATCTTTTCCAAAGAGCCCAGACACACAGCCTGAAGAGCTGGAGATGAACTAGAAGCTTGCAAGCACAAGGTGCCCCAAGGACTACTCTGACACTCTTTTCTGATTAAGTCTTTGTATGTGTGAAGTGGGTATTGCTTCTAGTGTGAAAGATACACAACGGCAATCCTGTGGGAGCTGCATGGATACCTCCAGTGAGGGCTGTCTGGTTGCAACTCAGAGAATGCTTGTGTAGCATCCTCAGGAGCGCCATCCAGGTGCAGTTACACCTTTCTAAATCCACTGGAGTCAGTGGGCTTAGAAAAGTACAGCTCTATTTAGGATTGCACTGTAAATCTCTCATGGCAATGGGAGACAATGCAACAGTGAGTTATCCTTTCCTTGCCCTTCCGAATCCTGTCATGCAGCCCTTTCCTCACTTGCAGTACAGCACTGCTTGTCCCGGCAAGTGGGAGAGGAGGGCAACCATCAAAACTAAGGCAGGTGTGTGATGGAGAAGACGTAACTCCCCTGGTGCTGCTGTTGCAATGGCATAGCCGTACTTTCTCCAGGTTCCAAGCTAGCTCCTCTACTACAGACAGGAAAAGAATGGCAGGCTTAAAAAGGCAGCATTTAGTTCACTTTTAATAGACAACAGTGACTGGGAAATGGCCCCAGCTGGCCTCAGGCATATACACTTGTTCCTTCATTCACAACCTCCCCTTTCTCCAGCGATGCATGTCTATTGGTCTCACTCATACCTTTCCGGATGCCACCATCACCAGCACAAGAGAAATCTCCAGCACTCAGAAGAAAGCAAGTGCCTGCTTTCTTGTTTTTGTCCCTGGTACTTGAACGCCTCATGGGCAGCTTCTCTTCCTGCGATGCCGAAAGGGGCTGCTCCTCATCTGACAGCACCACGTTGGCATCACCATTCTGCTTGGTATCTTTGGAAGGAGAAAGAAGATGACACATTTCAGCACCTGTTTTGACAACAGGAATATAACTAGGACACATAAAACATGCAGGAAAGCAGTGGCAGGCTCCTGGAAAGATTCCCTGCCTGGCTCAAAGAATCTTGAGGCCAGTGAAGCCTCCCTCAGCTCTTTCACTATTACTTATCTTGCTGGCTGAGGAATTGCGTGGAGACAAATAGAATCAGTGATCTTGAAGGATATTTTTCACTTTACTAGATGCCAGGCATATGTTTTTAATTTTATTGGTGGGTCACATTCTATGTGGCTAAAGAAAAGATTTATGGGAGTTTTCAGTGAATAATTGATTTAGAGTCCACCCTTTAGCCAGGGTCAGACAGGGCCAACACATCCTCCAGAGCCTCCTCATGGGGACCTTGACACTCCTCAGACTTGAAAGGGAAATAAATTTACAGTCCCCTAGGTCTTCCCTTCTCTGTCTCCCCACTGCCTTCCCTGTAGCCAGTTAGTTAGCAGGAGAGCTCGTGAGTCCCTGGCTCTTATCAGGAAGACTCCCTGGGGTACACCCACCCATTATTTTCTCTGCCTTCACCTCCTCGCCAGGGTTAATAGGCAGGAGCTGTTGTCAATTAAGTGTGACAAGGGCCAGGCTGCTCTCCTGTGTCACTCTTCACTCCCCCCCCCCCTTAAATGGGTGCCCCACACCCAGTTGATGCTGGCATACCAAGGTTCACGGTTGACCCAAGCAGCCTCATTCCGTCCTCCCTCATCTGGCCCTGCTGGACTGGGTGTGCCACTGACCTCTTGGACAGGCCCAGCTCTGATGTCAGCTGGCAGGACCAAATTCTGATGTCTGCAGGATGCTGCTGGGTTGGTTCTGTGCCCTTTACCTCTGGTGAGTATGGGTGTGATGACATACCCCTGGATAAGAAATGGGGTAATTGTGACCTTTTATCTGAAATCTGATGTAGTACTACCCTTTCTACCACCTCAGCATTCTGCCACTTTGTTCTGCTGCAGGTATGGATCAGGCTGAAAAGCAAGCCATTTAAATCTCAGATATGGGGCAATGAAGAGTTCCCTGAAGGAACAGTTCCCAAGGAAGGCAAAAGAATCTGGAGAAAACCAGTCTCAAGTGACTGCAGTATGAAGGGAAAAGGTCAGTGCTTTGTTGATTCTGATGGATCTACAGCAGTTTACATAATCTGGGAGTGTGGCCACAATTTTGGACTCTTTCCAAAGTACACTGAAGTCAAATGTTCATCTTTTAGGCTATGATTCTGCACTTAACTCCATTATCATTGCACCAAGGTGAACCCAACAAATATTGCACACTTCTGGAAGGAAGTGGGTCCTTCTGTGCTGTGGAAGGCATCTGCCTTTGAATCCACAAGTTTGTAAAGGGGGAGGGGCGTCTACTGAAAAACACTGATACAATGGCGACAGCAGATGGAATTTACAGCCAACAGTTTACTTGGTAACTCTCTGAGCCACGTAACATTAGAGAAGAGAAGAGATTGGATTTATACCCCGCCCTTCACTTGGAGTCTCAGAGCGGCTTACAAACTCCTTTCCCTTCCCCTCCCCACAACAGACACCCTGTGAGGTGGGTGGGGCTGAGAGAACTCTGACACAAACTGCTCTTTTTCAAGGACAGCTGTGCCAGAGGTTGTGACTGACCCAAGGTCACATCATCAGGTGCAAGTGGAGGAGTGGGGAATCAAACCCGGTTCTCCCAAATTAGAGACCGCACACTTAACCACTACATCAAACTGGCAAACATTAGACATAGAATCACTGTTCTATAGCAGTGCTGACATCATGTTCATTTCCACTGATGATACTAGGGTGCTAGAACAGATCTCTTTCTCTAAAGCACTCATTATTTACGGGACCGTCTCTCCTGGTATGTTTCCCAAACAGCACTGCGGTCAATGGGTAATAATCTCCTGGTGATCCTCGGCTCAAAAAGTATTTGTTTAGCTTCAACCCAAGCCAGAGCTTTTTCACCAGACCTGGTAGAATGCTCTCCCAGACGAGATCTGGACCCTGCAGAATTTAATGCAGTTCTGCAGGACCTGCAAGACAGAAATGTTTTGCCAGGCCCATGGTTGAGGCAACAAGGTTTCCATCTGAACTGGCCTCCCCCATTGACACACTGGCTACACAACCTCACTTTGGACAAGTTATTCTACCTTGTGCCTGTATGTGCCATCTGATTTGATTTTTTTAATTTACTGTTGTGATAATTGTTTTTAATAACTAATGTATAGTCTTTTTTAACATTGGTGTTACCTGCCCTCAGCCCTGCTGTGCAAGAGAGGGTGGGCTATAAATGGAATATAATAAATAAATAATAAATAGATAAATAACTCCATACAGTCATCTCAGTCCATGTCTTTTAAACAACAATCACCATGCATCATGGTTCTTGGATTCCCTGCTGCTGGTTTCAGCAAGAAGTCCAGGTAGCTGCGTTAATACTAATTGCCTTGTTCCAGGTTCACCTTTCTACTGAAATCAGAGCTCACAAATAGAGGGAACATGAGGAATTATTTGGCAGAGCAGGAAGAGAAGGATGAAGCAATTGTGAGATCCCTTCCCCTACTGTGCTACAGGGATCTCGAGTTGGTACAGGGAAAACAAGATATAAAGGTTTTGATCAGGGGTCATTTCGTAGAAAAAGAGCTAGGGGAACTCATTAGCATAACTCATTAGCATATGCCACACCCCCTTACATCAGGGGCCCGGCGGTGGACCTGCAAGGCCAGCGGGAGTGCAAGGAAGCCCCACCAAGGCCCTCCCTGGCCCCAGGCAGGCAGGGGTGGGGAGAGGCGGGGAGGAAGCAACTTACCCTCCCTCTTCTCCTGCCTCCTCCTGGCTGAATGAGGGCCGGAAGCGGGGCGGCCGGAAGCGGGGGGGGGCTTCGTCATGTGCCCCGCCCCCCTGCACCTCACCCGGGGGAACTGCGTTCCCCCGCGTTCCCCCCCGAAATGACCTCTGGTTTTGATTTAAAAAATAATAACTTGCCCCAAACCTCTGAGCTCTGGGGCTAGATCAGCAGTCTCCTGCTCACCTAATCCTGAAAAAAAAGGCTGGTCATAGAGCTTTGAATCTGAGCAGTACATTTTTGTTTTTATCTTCCCCTCCTTATACTATATGGGAAATGGAGGGGGGTGGATATTAGAGGTTAGGGGTTGCACACCTGACAGTACACATTCTGCAACCCTATTTTCATTACTCCATTCCAAAAAGTTCTTACAGGTTCTATCTCCTTAACAGCTGGAAGTGTTTAGGGGTAGGATGGCAATTAACTAGGCCTGAAGGAAGGTAGCCGCCCTGAGCCTGTTCGCGGGGAGGGCGGGATATAAATGCAACTAATAAATAAATATTTCCCTCCAGTTCTAGTGCTATCCCAATACTTTAGCTTCATAACCATTAAACATTCCTTGCTTCTTAGGTTGAGGGAAAAGAAAATCAGAGTGAGGCGCCCAGCCCTCACAATACTCATCCTGTACTCCATGGTACTTTAGGGGCTTGGCTAGGTCCTTAAGTCTTTTATTTTTCTTCAGCAGTTGTTCAGCTGCCCTTAGTGTTCTGAGACTCCTGGACGCTGATGGCCATATTCAGCCCTTGTCAATATATTTTTGGTTTGACTTTATTTTCTTCTTTAAAATAGTCCCCTAGCTATGCAGAAACGCTAACTTATCTATGGATGACCCCAATGTGGTGCCCTACTGATAGCCCAAAACCTGCTCAATACAGCACAGGAGAGGGGATAAGTTAACCAGAAATACCATCTGGGAAAGCCAAGGGGGGACTTGGATTAACGGATGCCTAAACCCACAATTTCAATAATTTCGTCTCTGAGTCCAGGGTACTATATGGGAATAAGAGTTTGGTCTCCTTCTCAATTGCAAGAGTTCTTGGGTGGGAGAATTAATTAGGATTGAAGAAAGTAATGTTCCTAAACTACTAATAACCCCTTCCCCTCAACTCTTTTCCTTTAAGGAGGCCAAGTCTTTAACAGTGTACTGACATTAATTTCTGGGGATGTGTGCTTACAGCATATATCCTGTGTACTTAATTCCCTGCTCTATGATACTACAAACTGTTAAGATCTTGTCATTTTCATTTCCCAACCTATTCCCCACTGCCCTCAATTGACATTCCACTGCCCTCACCATTGTGTGACTCCTGGAGAGAAATGCATATTTGTGTCTTAGGACAGCCTCCCCCCCTTTTAAAAAATACATTTTTTCATACCTGGAGACTTATTTGAGTATAAAAAAACATTACAATATTTATGGATGGATCTATTTTGCTGCCCTACTGATCAGCAAAGGCCTTGTAAGTTTGCTATTAAAGAGAATGACAAGTTGGGGCTCTGAGGCATTGGGAGGTGGGACACAATTTGGAAATCCTTTCCACTTCTCAACATCTCTTTCTCCACTATTCAATAAACTCTCAGCGGCTTGGACAGGTTAACTCCTGGAGCATATTTAGTCTTCATCAGGCCATTTTCTGTGTAAGTGGGAAGGAGGTCTCTTTATTTTGGTTACTTTATGAAGTCGTATTTTTCCTGTATCTATAAGAAATCTGCTAAGTATACAGAACTCCTACTTTATCTTTAGATAAAGTTTTGTTGCTTTCATAAGCACTAATGAGGCCAACTTCTTTATTATTAGGAGAAGAGACACCCAGCCAGCTTCCTTCATTTGGGTAGCAATGAAAATGGCTACAGTTGAACTGTTGTTGAGCCTATTTGATATATCTGCTTGAAACTTTAATTTGGTCATCAACATACTTGAGAAAACTGATCTAGTATACTTTAGAGTTTTGCTTGTTAATCCAGCCATAGTAGGGCAAGTGGTGCTCTTCTTGAATTTCAACATTTTATGCAGTCAGAATGCCGTTTGTTATGATCTAACACTCACATCACACCCTACTCATCTTTTGAAGAGTCATTTACTGGAAAACTCTTTAACAAAGATTCTTTCCTCTCTTCTTGCAGAAAGGAAGCAAAATCTCTCTTCCCCTGTAAGTACTATTGCTGTATATTCAGGATTCCCATGGAGGCTTCAGAGCACTTTCCATTACTAGCCAACAGCCTACAGTAAGAAACCCTAGAGAGTCATATCACAGCCTTGCGCAGCAAATATACTTCACTTAACAACTACCAATTGCTGGAGTTAAAAGGAACAGCACCAACCAGAAATAACTCACCTGCATAAATGAACCTCTACTTTAACAAGCTATATACGGCTGGGGCTGCCTGGCTGACTTGGGAATGCCAAAGATCCCCTTAGACAATCATGGCAGCCAGGAAGATCAAACAATTGGTCAATATTAAGACGAAAGTCCATCATTTAAAGAGCCTAGACACAGCAAGCCACTGTAAGGCAATAATAGACTGCAAGGAGGGTGGCTTCACTTATTATGGGAAATAGTTGTACAAGTTCCTCTTCTTTTATGGTTTTAATGGAACATGCACAGGTGGATCTTGCAGACCTCAACTCAACTTCTAGTTGCTAGAAAGAGATTTCCATATTGTTATGCTTACTGATAGGGTTGCCAGCTCCGAGCTGGGAAACACCTGAAGATTTGGGGGGTGGAGGCTGAAGAGGATGTGGTTGGGGAGGGGAGGGACTTCAATAGGGTACAGAGTCCACTTTCCAGAGTGGCCATTTTCCTCCAGGAGAACTGTCACCTGGAATTCAGTTGTAATTGTGGGAGATCTTCAGCCACCACCTGGAGGTTGGCAAAACTAATCACTGACTTTGGTTAGACAGCTACAGTTCTCCTGATCCATGAATAAAAAACTTTTAATGAACCATGAACTTTTAATACAACTATGTACTGAGAAAATGGGTTTAAGTCAACCTGTTTCTGCACTGTAACAGCAGTGATATAAGATTTAACACTGAGACATCCATGATGTAGAATCTGCCCTTACACTTCCACAAGGCATTAAGGTTCATCCAGATTCCTACCATCAGTTTCTCTTTCTCCAGCTTTGGTTCCATCTGAAATCTTGTATCTCACCTGATCTTTTCCTCTCTCCCATCCCTGCTGCTGTTGCTGCTGCCAGAGGGCTGTTGTAGCTCTGAATGCTGTTGCGAGGTGAATTGTCCTCTGACTTGCAGTATGCTGGGGAGTCCAGTGGTGCTGGACGGGGTATGTGCTTCTTCTTCTTCTTTGGGAGCTTCTGTTTGGCCATGGCCAATGAGTAATACATTCCAAAATTGTTGACAATTACCGGGACAGGCATGGCAATGGTAAGGACCCCAGCCAGGGCACAAAGAGCACCAACCAGCATGCCTGACCAGGTTTTAGGGTACATGTCACCATAGCCCAATGTTGTCATTGTCACTACTGCCCACCAGAATCCAATGGGGATATTCTTAAAATGTGTGTGTTCACTTCCACTGGGGTCAGATGGTTTGGCTCCAATCCTTTCAGCATAATAGATCATGGTGGCAAAGATCAAAACCCCTAAAGCCAGGAAGATGATAAGCAGGAGGAATTCATTGGTGCTGGCCCGGAGTGTATGACCCAGCACTCGAAGCCCCACAAAGTGGCGAGTCAGCTTGAAGATTCGGAGGATCCGAACAAAACGAACTACTCGCAGGAAGCCCAGCACATCCCGTGCAGCCTTGGATGACAGACCACTGAGTCCCACCTCCAAGTAGAAGGGCAAGATGGCTACAAAGTCAATGATGTTAAGAAGGTTCTTAATGAAGACCAATTTATCTGGGCAGCACATGATGCGCACTAGAAACTCCAGAGTGAACCAAAGCACACAGACTCCTTCAATGTAAGTAAGAATGGGCTCTGTCTCCATCTTTTGCATCACAAAGACCTCTGTTGTGTTGCCCACCACCAGTGTCTCAGTCACATTAACATCTATGATGAAGGCTTCGTGCGTCTCCAGGCAAAATGTTGTGATAGATACCAAGATGAAAAAAAGCGAGGCAAAGGCAATTACCTGAAGAGAAGCAAAAATAATCTCAGTGGTCAGAGTCAACAGGCCATGGTAGATGAAGAAAAAGAAATATAAATAGAAATGCAATGAACTTTAAAATGAATTTCATCATTTCTCCTTCTCACCTGCTTTTCTTAATCACTACAAAAATGACAAGAAATGATGATGCAAACCTAGGAAGAGACATAGCCATGATCAACAGGTATGACTGGTATCATGGTTGCACATTTTACATAGCCCTTGTCTTCTTTGTCCTATGTTCCATCAGTGCAGAATTCAAAATCCTTACCTAAATAAATCATATTCTTAATGAATGGATCCTACTTTTCAGTTCCAGTTGTACTTCCAACCAATATTCCCTCTAAGCTGTGGAGTCTTGTGAGCAAAAATTCTACTTTGTGAGCTGCTGGCATTAAAGTTGTGAGCGAACGCTTTGGCTGCTGCAGGAATTAGTTTGGTCTGGAGCCATCCTTCCTGAGCTAAGACAAAAATGTGTGAGCTGGAGGCTAAAAAACTGTAAGCTAGCTCACACTAACTCATCTTAGAGGGAACACTGCTTCCAACCTATGTCTACTAAGAAAATCAAACTGGGCAGTCTGGCTAGTTTCAAAGCCAAAGTTGGATGACAGTGAATATTTTTTTCACAAAACAAGGAGACTGTAAACAAAGACTGTCTTCTGTATTTGACTTTTTATTAGGGATTTCTTGTCCCTCCATTTTGATTTCACTTCTCCCTTGTGCAAATCAAACCCATGACAACTTAGTTGACTGCCATTTTCTATTTCCTCGCACCAAATCATCCTGATAAAGTTTATGCATTTTTCAATATTCTATGTAGGTCAATACATCAGTATTACACATTGTGTGGGTGTGTATATGCACAAATAAATGCCATACAGACTGTGTATAAAAGACTATAGAACAGTGATGGCAAACCTTTTAGAGACCGAGTGCCCAAACTGCGATCCAAAACCCACTTATTTATCGCGAAGTGCCAACACGGCAATTTAACCTGAATACTGAGGTTTTACTTTAGAAAAAACAACTCATACATTAACTTAAGATGATCCAAACAAAGTAAGGAAAGCAATCCCAAATGCTTTCATTTACTTAAAATTATTTGGCAGAGAATTTGACACTTTAATGATGGTCTGGGCCTGGCTGGGGCGATGGCACGCGTGCCCACAGAGAGGCCTCTGAGTGCCACAGGTTCGCCACCATTGCTATGGAATATGCATACAAGATGCAACTGAATCTACAGTGCCAACAATGAAATGTGGAGAAGTAAAACCATTGTAAAAATATCAGCAAATATGAAAAGAAACAGAGTTGGTGAAATGTGCTTATCTCTACCTTCTATATTCTTGCAGGAATATCATCACTTCAGCTTGTTCCCAGCTTAGGCAAGAACTGAACAACCCAGGAGACTCAGCTTTCTTTTCTTTTCATTATGCCCTTTTTTATTTCCAGTGGTAAGTTTGAAGTCTGCCAAGTCACTGATTGCACTGAAACTTATTGGAAGTTTTGATTTCCGTTGCATCCCAAAGGCAAGTCTGACACCTTCCACTGATACTAACAATAAACAGGAAGGACTCAGTTACCCAGCTGGGACTCTGGGTGTTTGTGCTCCAGCTTCATTCATGTACATTTTTCTTTACATGTTAGCTTGCCAACACAGGCAGGAATTAAAATCCAGTATCACAGGATAACTATCCATGCTCTGACTGATTAATAGATGGAGAAAGGCTATATATACAGTAGACTGATTTATGTCTATGCTTTAAATCATTATTTAAATCACCAAGAAAAGACTGATTTAATGTAAATCCTCTGGTAGTTCATACATTATTTGAATACTATAATAATCAAAACGTTGGTTTGGAAGTAAATAGAGCCTTAATACAAACTACAAGGACTCTCCAAAACTTTTCGGCATGCAATCTACATGACTTTTGTGCTTCAGGATTTATATCTGTCTAAAGGAAAAGGGGCCATTGTGAAACTGATGGATTTCTGGTTGGCATTCTCTGTACATGTGCAAGGACTAAGGCCCACAAAGCCATTAAACTTACACAGAACTATGAGCCCAAAGAGTTTTATGCTTTTGTTTCTCTTGAACAACACCCCTCTATGATATGCCATGTGGGAATAATTTGTTCACTGATAACTAAAGAACAGGATTTGAATGAAAAGTCAGATTTCTTTATTATTAATAATAATTTATTTTAATCCACTCTGGCTATGGCACTATTTGACCACCACAATCTCTTTCCTCCTCAGGCTGACCGCTTTTACATTCAACATTCTACAGATAAATTCATATTCTTGTTTACAGCCCCACAGGATATTTCAGGAAATTAATAACTGGGACAAATGTGAAAGAACAAGTATGCATGCACATGCACGCACATATACACACATCATGGAAGCCAATGGATGTTTTGGCTTTTTAAAAAATGAGTCCACCTCAGTTACATGGGCCTAGTGATGAACATGTAGCTGTAAAACATAATGGTCTCTTAGAACTTTACACTTCAATGGTTCAATCCCAAGTGAAATCTAGCCATTATAGTGATTCTTCATTGGCTAAAACTCAAAGGGAACTCATAAATCCTATGCTGGTTTCAGAATGCTTCATAGATCAATGGGCCCAGTCACAATGCACAAGCCCATTAAATCAGCAATCTCTGCGCAGATCAATGAAGTAGTGTTGGTTCCCATAAATTCTGGATAGTAGATTCATCATTATGCTAACTATATTACCCAGCCAGAGACTGAGCCAGGTTGGGGATAGTGAGAGTGCCACATTCCCCAAAAGCAGTGACTCACCCCTATAAGGCTGATATTGAAAAACTGGATTTTTATGCCACAAGAGCTTCCACTATAAAATAAGAACTCCCACCCTCACCACAGGAATACATCTGATCTTGGGAGGAGGATCCTGCATGTGACTTGCTCAGTGCTGCCCACCCAGGATTCTCTCTGGTGGATCACTATTGGTTTAACCCTGAAAATCCCCTTTTAGTTTGTTGGATGACCCTGGGACAGCCACAAACTCTCAGCCCAGCCTACCTCACAGGGTCATTGTTTGGGTAAAATGGAGGAGACGAGAACAAAGTAAGCCTCTTTAAGCCCCCAGTGAGGAGAATGGCAGTGTATAAAGGAAATGAATTAATAAATAAAGTTATTTGGCTATATCACTCAAATACATGCATTTAAAAATCCAGTGTACAATGTACACAGGTTGTATGGGAGTTCACTGTAACTGGTGAAAAGGGGTCCAATACTTGGTTAATGTAGCAAGTTTCTAGAGCTAGGAGGAGCAATGTGGACACTGCACTGGGGTGCAAGCCCAAAGACTGCTCCCCAGGGTGCCCTATGGTATCAGTCCTGGGGCACAATCCTTAGATCACTGGCAATGCCAGAAGCAACATTCAGTCCAGGGGTAGCATCTGAGCTCATGTGCTGCTTATGGCATTACTGGCGTCATGCATGTATCTAGAAACGTGAAGGCATGCCTCTGCTCTGTCACCATTGCTGCAGATGCCTCCTTAATGATGGAGGCCCAGGTAGCAGCCACGGCCAAGTCACCCTTTTACCATCTTCGGCTGATTCCTTGAACACAGTGACTTGGCAACAGTGATCCATGCAGTGGACACCTCGAGACTGAACTACTGTAATTCCCTCTACATGGGGCTGCCCTTGTCCCAAATTCGGAAGCTACAGCTGGTGCAGAATGCGGCAGCCAGGCTGTTACTGGGTCTCCCTCCGAGGGAGCACATTCAGCCTGTGCTGAAAGCACTGCACTGGTTACCTACAGCATACCGAGTTTGCTTCAAGGTGCTGGTTCTCACCTATAAAGCTTCATATGGCCAGGGGCCTGCATACCTGAGGGACTGCCTTTCCCCACACATTCCCCAGAGGGTACTATGGTCAGGGTCACAAAATCTCCTTGTTCCCTGCAGCCCTAAAGATGCCAGACTGGCTACAACTAGGGCTACAGAGTTCTTGGTAGCAGCCCTACTTTGGTGGAACAAGCTCCCTGAGGACATCAGGGCCCTGCGGGATTTATTACAATTCCGCAGGGCCTGTAAGACGGAGCTCTTCCACCAAGATTTGCTTGAGGTGCCACACCTAATAGTCTAACATTGATTGAGGAACCTGTGCCCTGCAATCCATCCTTGGCTGCCTGCTTTTGTGCATCTGCGTCTATGTCAGTGAATTATGTTATGGAGCCGGACACCAGTCATATATTTATTGCTGACTAGATTCCCTACTGTGTATGATTATTCAGGACAGTTATTCTGCCATCGTACACATGTAACACTTTATGAATCGCTTGATGATTTTAATTTGTTTTATTGTTTCAATGTTTATATGATACCCTTAGGTCTGTAAGCCGCCCTGAACCTGCTTTGGCAGGGAGGGCAGGATATAAATCAAATAAATAAAAAATAAATAAAATCATGTTATGTCCAACCCATAGCAAGGACTATGTATAAATCATGACTGTGATAGCTGTAAATCAATCAGAAGCAGGCCACTCCTGAAGCCTCTGCCAGACACTCCAGTGCTTAGGAGGAGGTCCCACTAGCATTTCTGTACACTGCCATGGTTTCCCTCTAATAACCTTTATTCAAGACTTGACAGTTCTCAGTTCTTCTTTGCTAGGCTTGGAAAAGAAAGCAAAGTGGTTTCCCGCTCTGTTGAGATTCCATGTGTTATCTTGGCAAATCACTTAGGGACTGATTTCTGAACATCAAATTTCTACTGAAAGGGAAATTAAGGGTAGCCACAGTGACCACTGAAACCGTTTAGTCATTGTACATTATTTCCTATGTAAATTGATCTGGCTAAATTGTTTCCCACTCTGTTCTTGTACATACATAAATAAGCCAGGGCTGCTCCAGATAGATGGCTAGGGAAACACACAGAGAAGAAAACATCTTATGCAGAGCTTAATTCCAGCTAATTCACCACTGGATAACTGTGGAGTTCCTTTC